GAGAACTCCCCCTTGCGGTGTACCTCTACTCACACACCTCCGGATTGAAGCGTTGCCCCACTCTGCCGCGACAGTTCTATTGCAAGGCAAGCGGTAAATAAACCTGACAAGGTCGGCTCGGACCCCTAGCTTATTTAGGGAGTTAACTACAGCCTCAGGCAAAACATTATTAAAGGCCCCTCGATATCAAGGAAGTCATCGACCGCAAATTCCTTCTGAGAGAAGGATTTCTCGATATCTTCAACGACCGTGTGTAAGGCCGTTTCGACAGACCTGCCCTTACAGTAAGCATGCTGATCCAAGGAAAGGCGCTCCCTGAGGATCCCGCTTCTTAAATGCAGATCGATCAGCCTCTCCAGCGTCTTCAGAAGAAACGAGGAGAGACTTTTCGGCCTGAAATCCCTGGGTGATACATGAGAGGCTTTACTCGCCTTGGGAATGAACACGACTCTGACCACCCTTCAAGGACCCGGAAATGACCCTTAGCGAGACAACCCTCGAAAATGGGCATCAACCAGCGGAACGACACTTCTGCAGATTTCTGCAGTTGGGCCGGTATTATGCCGCCGGGGCCCGGGGTCTTGAAGGGCTTGAAGGAGCCAATGGCCCAAATAAGGCGATCCATAGTTAGGATTTCCGAGACATTCGTCTCGGGGATCGACTCCTCTAACCGGATCCCTCCCGGGTCCGGGTTGAAGGGGAAATGAGCATCAAGGAGCAACCGGAGAGACTCCTCGCTGCTCATTGCCCAGCCGCAGCCCTCATCCCTGATGTATCCCAGGGGAGCGGGATTCTCAGAAAGAACTCGCCGAAACCTTGAACACTCCTGACTACCCTCCAGGCTTTCGCAGAACGGTCTCCACGATGTCCGCTTCGCTTTTCTGATCTCGGACTTATATATCCCAGGCCCAATCTTATACAGTGCCCAGTCGGAGGCTGATTTACTCTTCCTGGCCCTATTGAAAAGGCCTCTGCTCGAGGCCCTAAGATCAGGGAACTCCTCCGACCACCAGAGCGGTTTGCTCTTACCTTTGTGGTAACTCAGGGGACAAGGCATATCAATGGCCCTTTTACACGAAGTGGTGAACACTCCAATTAATTCGTCAATTTCGCCTTCACTCCAGGTCTCGCCCCACGGGCGCAACCGGAAGCAATTCCTGCAGACTTCTGCAGTATAAGTCCCAGTTGGTTCTCCTCAGATTCCTGTAAGGTTTTTACTTAGGACGCGCTTCGTCCAAAGCGAATTGTATGTACCGATGATCGGAAAAGGAGTGCTCACTAAGGACTCTCCAGCCAGATATACGGGACATAATATCAGAAGAGACCAACGTGATATCTAAAACCTCTTCTCTACTAGCCGTTACAAAAGCGGGGTCGCTCCCCTTATTACATATACATAAATTTTCATTAAGTTTAAAATTAAAGAGTGACTCACCTCTACTGTTGATATCTGAGCTGCTCCAAATCGTATGGTGGGAATTCGAGCCAGACCCAATAACAACGCGGATCCTCCTGCATCTAGCTTCTGCCACCGCATTCCTTATTAAGCACGGAGGTGGCTCCACCGCGTCCTCGTGCGCCATATAAGCGGAGATTAACCAGAGTTCTCCGGTTGCACCTTCAAGGCTCACCGTGACAATGTCTCCATCGCTGAGAAGAGGCAAAATAAAAGCATTAAGTTCCTTCCTGATAAGCATGCAGGATCGAGGTCTACCTGCATCCCGCTGAACCACCAGTTTGTAGTCCCTCGTCTCGATACCAGAAACCTTATTGCTGCTGCTCAGCCGCGGCTCCTGGATCAGGACTACATCAACTCCACCTTGCTCAAAGTGGATTAAAAGGTTGGCTGACGCCGCCTTAGAGTGCTGAAGATTGATCTGAAGAATATTCATCCTCCGAAATTCTCTCCAGCACCCCTCCGCAGGCGCCATCCACATCGGACGCAAGGAGCAATTCCTCCTCCGCCCTGTCGAACAGCGGGCCAATAGTGATAACCGATCCTGCACTCGAAGGAGGGCCAGCAATGCTGTCACTGTCCGACATGACGGACTCGACCCCCGTACCTATGGGGGCATCCTCCACATTCATATTTTCGCCCACCAGCGCAACCGGAACACGCTCGTCATCCGCTCTGGAGTCGGTATGGTAGACCTTCCTGACTACCTTCTCGAAGCCATAGTAGATGACTCCTTGTCTTTCGGCGAGAGGATTAAGAGACTCCGAGTTCAGCAACATCAGCGCTTGCCGAAAGTCACCGTCGGAGCTCTCAAACCGGATTGCCTTCCAGTTGTGCGCTGGAAGGTCCGGGTTGCAGTAGCGAAAGATATCTTCCACCTCTATCAGCGAGGAAGGTGCCGAGGGAAGCCAGACCCGAGCACGCGGACGCAAGGGAAGGTCCCCCTTGTCCACAGCCTCGAGTGTGGCTCCCACCCAAACCTCCCCGACCAACGCTACTGCCGCCTTGTAAAGCGCGGCTGACCGCTCATAGGCACACACCACCTTCTTGATCATCCCCTGATGCCAACCAGCACTCTCGCACCGCGGCGGAGGCCCCGGGTCTTCCCTGACCACCCTCATAAACACCCCTGATAAGGCCGAAGACACCTTCCTCCAATCCTCCCTGGCGATGGCTCCCTCATCCTTACCCCGACCCAAAACACCCAGAGTGATAGAGCCCGCCTGTTTAGCGATCTCGCTAAAGAGCTTAGGCGTCCCTCCCTCTCTGGGCTTCTTAGAGAGGGGGGTTTCCCCCTCCTGCGATCTCTGCCGCTTGACAGGGTCAATACGGGATGCGCTCGCACCCCCAGAAAACACCCTCACCACAGCCCCCCTGGCCGCCGCTTAGCACCCCCCTGGCCCACTCGAGCGATCGCGCGTGCTGCTCAGATAGCTGCGCAGCACCCACCTCGCCATAATGCGCCAGTATCTTGGTGGCCATGCGACGGTCATCACGTGCTTTCCTGTNAGAATATTCATCCTCCGAAATTCTCTCCAGCACCCCTCCGCAGGCGCCATCCACATCGGACGCAAGGAGCAATTCCTCCTCCGCCCTGTCGAACAGCGGGCCAATAGTGATAACCGATCCTGCACTCGAAGGAGGGCCAGCAATGCTGTCACTGTCCGACATGACGGACTCGACCCCCGTACCTATGGGGGCATCCTCCACATTCATATTTTCGCCCACCAGCGCAACCGGAACACGCTCGTCATCCGCTCTGGAGTCGGTATGGTAGACCTTCCTGACTACCTTCTCGAAGCCATAGTAGATGACTCCTTGTCTTTCGGCGAGAGGATTAAGAGACTCCGAGTTCAGCAACATCAGCGCTTGCCGAAAGTCACCGTCGGAGCTCTCAAACCGGATTGCCTTCCAGTTGTGCGCTGGAAGGTCCGGGTTGCAGTAGCGAAAGATATCTTCCACCTCTATCAGCGAGGAAGGTGCCGAGGGAAGCCAGACCCGAGCACGCGGACGCAAGGGAAGGTCCCCCTTGTCCACAGCCTCGAGTGTGGCTCCCACCCAAACCTCCCCGACCAACGCTACTGCCGCCTTGTAAAGCGCGGCTGACCGCTCATAGGCACACACCACCTTCTTGATCATCCCCTGATGCCAACCAGCACTCTCGCACCGCGGCGGAGGCCCCGGGTCTTCCCTGACCACCCTCATAAACACCCCTGATAAGGCCGAAGACACCTTCCTCCAATCCTCCCTGGCGATGGCTCCCTCATCCTTACCCCGACCCAAAACACCCAGAGTGATAGAGCCCGCCTGTTTAGCGATCTCGCTAAAGAGCTTAGGCGTCCCTCCCTCTCTGGGCTTCTTAGAGAGGGGGGTTTCCCCCTCCTGCGATCTCTGCCGCTTGACAGGGTCAATACGGGATGCGCTCGCACCCCCAGAAAACACCCTCACCACAGCCCCCCTGGCCGCCGCTTAGCACCCCCCTGGCCCACTCGAGCGATCGCGCGTGCTGCTCAGATAGCTGCGCAGCACCCACCTCGCCATAATGCGCCAGTATCTTGGTGGCCATGCGACGGTCATCACGTGCTTTCCTGTCCTAACGGAGGGATTCCTCCCAGATTTAGCCGCAAGTCCTTGGCTGGTGCCGTCCACACTGTCCAGTGCCCTCACGTCCATAGCCGCAGACGACTTCTTCTGCGACCTTGCCTCCGTCCTAGATGCAGGCGAATTCGCCCGCGCCCCTAACCCCGACACTAGGTGCGGTGGGTTCCCATCTGCACCACCAGATACGAGTGCAGACGAAGAGGTCGGCTCCGACCCCTTGCTGCACCCTGCAGCAACAGCTGCCCCACCCAGCCTACGAGTCGATTCCGCCTCGTTTAAAGAGGAGCAGAAGAGAATTTTTGGTATTAGGGTTTCGTTTTAAATTTTGGTTATGGTTTTGTTTTTGATTGTTTTTGTTCATCGTACGACCACCTACCCGACGACTTACTTCTTCTAAGCAAAAATATTTCTGGAATCTTTTTTCCAAAGCTTTTTCCAAAAGACTCGCAGCTGCATGTAGATACTTAATTGTATAGGTTCCTCGCATTTTGCGGTATTTTCTCCTAATTGTCGCCAGCGTTGGTAGAAGGAAACCATACACCATACCGTTATCTATCTGGTTGCTGTAATTGCAAATATTCCTCAATGTATCTAATATCTCTCTCGCAGAATGTCGTCAATTCCACGCAGTTTTCTGTTTTTCTTTGTAAGAAATCAAAGCTTTAATGGAATCATATAACGAGTTCCAGCTCGGTACAACGGATATTGCAATTGTGTTCCAAACGTAGAATTGCTGTGAAGATTTCGGTCTGCTTATTACAGCAACTGTTTTTAGAAAAGGTTTTTTTACAAGACAGGTAGAAATTAAAATTTAATAAATATGTACTGTTACTACTTTATTACTTATTCATATAATACAGGTAAAATAAAATGCAGGTTGCTGACTACAGCTCAACTATACCTGATTTCAGATGACTGCAGATTGCTTCAATGAGAGACTTCATTCAATTGACTTAGAAAAGAGACTTTATTCAAATTATTGCAAATGGTTAACAAAAAAAAGACTTTAAAAATGAATAATTAGTCACCAAAATTGTGTCTGAATAGTGACTAATTATTCGCAAATGACTGCATTCTCTTACAACTCAGATAAGTTCCTTTATCATACCAGATTAATTTTATGCTTAGATTTGGCTGAATGATTTATTTTTATCTTTTTTACACAAATACAAATTTTGGAATATAATTAAATTACAAAAAAAAATATATTTCTGCAAGAAATTTTTTTCTTTTGATTTAAAATAAGCATTGATATATGCGCATATGTAGAAAAGTGGATAAACTTCAGCAAGATGAATCAAATAAAACTTTTTTATATTTTCATATTTATATTTATGTAATTTGGTACATGTATCGTTATTAAAAAGGAGTAACATATTAAGTATTCCTTAAACTGCAAAGCAGAAGTAAATATAGTGTTTCTTAACTTGTTTTCTTCGAACACTAACACCCAAATTCATAAAAAATAAAGAAGACTTTAACTGCTTTATAAATTGAAAATTTGTATGAAAATGTCACTTTATATAGCTAAAAATCTATTTAATTTTTTTAGAATAAGGCCATTAGTTTTTAGGAATGATAAATTCTAAGATTTAGTACACCATTCATATGCAGTGCTAAACATTATCTGCCATGGGCTTTCCATAGAATTTACTTTAAAGTCAGCTGGAACATATGGCCATTGGAACATGGAACTGCAACGTTCGGGATGCGGCATTAATGCCAAGTGACGCCCGTCCTCGGAGCACAGACCAGCTATGCCATCAATGCTTCCATTTGGATTCATTGGATATAATTCTGTTGCTTCGCCTTTGTCATTGGCATATCGTATTGCAACGCATCGCTTTGATTTTAAGGAATTTAGAACATCGTTACTACGGAATGAAAATCTTCCCTCTCCGTGTGATATCCAACAACCCAAAACGGAACCTTTCAGTTTGTTTAGCATCATTGCATTACTATCCTCAACAAGTGTGGTAATCCATCGACATTCAAAACGTTCAGATTTATTATGTAGTAAGGCAACGTCTGGCACATCAATAAATTGCGTATTAGATGGGTCGGCAAGTCCTACCCATCCAATTAAACCCATAAGCTGACATCCATTGCACACTCCCAACGAGAAGGTATCATGTCGTCGTTTGAATGCGTGAAACTGAGGTCTAAGCAAATTACTGAACATAATATTTGCGGCCCAGCCTTTACCAGATCCCAGAGTATCAGCGTAACTAAAGCCTCCCGGAAACACTATGCCACGGTATCGATCCAAATTCGTTTTTCCTGCAAAAAAATAAAAAATAAAGCCCGTCAGAAAATAAATAAAAATAAGGATACATAAATTCATAGTGTGTGCCACATTTGATGTGCTTTAAAAAAAAGTATTTTTTTGAGATGTAACTTATGCATAATTCTGGTTATTTCAAGGGGGAAAACGAATGAGTCCTTACATTTAAAAATGAGTTCATATTTAACATAAATGCTGTTTAATTTTTACATAGAATCTTATGGCTTTATTCATAAAAAATAAAGTAGGTTTAAAGAGCTTTACAAAGTGACGTTTTCATACATTTTTCAGTTTATAAACCTTTTTTAAAGCTACTTTATTTTTTATGAATAAGGCCATTAGTCCCTATTTATATGTCCATATAAAAAAATATTCGTCGATTTTATGCAACAGATTGTTTTGGTTTAATGAGATATACATATTAATCATAATAATAGATTGGTACTTTCAAAATAGCTCAGTGTTTGGCCGAGCATCTCCTCCGATTTGTGGCGTGCGCCTTGAGGTTGGCACACAAAGGGGAGGACCAACAGTTTTACGCCCCCGAAGGCCGATTGTATTCTTAACAAAAGCTGTTTTCATGGCAGAAATACACGGGGGTTTGCCATTGTCTGCCGAGGGGCAACCGCTATTAGAAACAACTTTTTTTATATTTGAAAACCTTTTTATAACAAGGTTTTGTTTAGCTTGCAACTTCCCGATGAGCTAGAGACTTGAAATATCAAATCTAGCTCAGAACCTGCTGGCAATACAATATGAAAGATAAAGTAATCCTAGGGGCGCAAGAGTCTCTATATCGCACACCATCTTCAAAAGAGGTACAACTCAAAAATCAGATCTAAAAATACTATAACGGCTTGTGGATCGTACAGATTCAACGATTATCAAAAGCAGGTATATCAGTTTTTAGTTGGAGAATATAATCATGAAGAAAAACATATTTTTACATTAATTGGAGATAATCCTACAAATTGATTTATGCGAAAAATGAACCTAAGAGTTGTGCCTCTTTTGCAGACGGTGTGTGATATGTGGAAACCCCGTATATACGGTCTAATTAGGTTCATATTTAGAACGAAAATTACTTACATGGAAAAAATAATTCCACAGAAAGTTTAGCCGGTAGGACAAGCAGGGGTTGATATACATATTTTGGTCTGATTTAGAATGTGTATTACTTAAATGAAAAGGAATAACTTCACAACAAATTTTGCTGATAGTGTGGTAGATCACATTTATTTATTCAAGTTTAACCTACTGGGCTTAGCCCTCACAGGTTCCGATGGTACATAATTAAACATAATAACATTAAGGTATAATTTTATAATAACTAAGGGTAGGAAACAAATTTAATACATAAAATAATATTTAAGTAGTTTTTGAATGACTCCCTGGTCATGTCGATATCGAATTGGGAAGATATAACATTAAGTAGCGACATAAACTTATGAATCGGTTCATTCAGGCCGTAAGTAGTTCTTCTATATTTAATATAGAAGATGGATTTATCTCTGAGAGGTCTGGCGGGAGCGTTAAATGTTAGAAGCGATAATAACTCAGGTGAATCAATTCTGTTATGCATAACGTCCATAATGAAGATAATGCCTTGAATTTTTCTTCTTCTAGAAAGGATCTCTAGGTTTAAGATCCTACATCGAAGATTGTAAGACGGCATCGAGTCTGGTGAGTACATTCGGCGAAGCGCGAATTTTGTAAAGCTTCTCTGAACTCTCTCTAGTCGATCGGAATGTGCTGTTAATGCCGCATCCCAAATAAGGCTGGCATATTCGAGAAGAGATCGAACAAGGCTTGAAAAGAGGCTTTTAAGAGTCAGCGGGTCTATAAATTCCTTTGAGTTACGTTTTGAGGAAGCCGAGTTTTGAGTTGGCAGCAGAAATTATATATTCCCTATGATAGTCGAAACTAAACTTAGTGTCGAGATAAAACCCTAAGTCTTTGACAGTGGTAACACGCTGGAAGCTAGCATCTGTTCCGCACACGTAATTAAATGTTATGTTAATTAAATGTTAAATGTTACCGACCGCGATAAGGTTATGAGATTACATTTTCGGAAATTTAGCATTAATCTGTTACATTTACACCATAATATGAGGGAGTTAATATCATTCTGTAGAGCTACGCAATCTTCAGGGAGCTTAATAGGATGATAAAGCTGGAGATCGTCGGCGTAAAGTAAACATTCAATAAGTTTGAAGACCTTAACGACATCATTAATCAAGATAGTGAAGAGTAATGGGCCTACCTTGGGGTACACCAGAAGTAACTGAAATTGCCCGAGAGAGACTGTCACCAACTTTGACTATTAACTTCCTGTTCTTCAAGTAAGCAAAGTCAAGCAAAGTTAAAGCGATGGAATGAACTCCCATCATCCCCAATTTGCGATAAGTAGGTCATGGTCTAAACTGTCAAAAGCCTTAGTGAAGTCTGTGTAGAGAACATCGACGTGAGATCCATTCTCATTGCGTCCAAAGCGAAATTTGAAAAAATAGCGAGGTTGGTACATGTAGACCTTCCAGGATAGAAACCATGATGCTGCGTGTAGATAGGGTGCTTGAAAGCGGAGAATAAGTATTTATTAACCAGCTTGTCTAGTAATTTTGGAATAATTTAGAGCAATTTTAGCGACTGGTCTATAGTTTTCTACCAGATTCCTTAAGCCCGATTTAAAAATAGGTACAATGAAAGCCATTTTCTACTCATCTAAGAAAATACCTGAGTCAAGGCTTTTATTAAAAATTAGAGGCGGAGGTATGAACAGTGTGTTAGCGCAGTTTTTAAAGAAGCAGGATGGCAGGAGATCGTAACCTTCTCCTTTTGAGGCGTCTAACTCTAATAGACCCTCAAAAACCTCTGTTTCCGATACCGACATTTTTCCTATGTTAACTACCTGCTGTAATTGAAATGATTCGGAGGAAATTTCAGTATTTTTAAAGCTTTCATATACGTGACCAAAGTTCGCAAACAAGTTGGAAGACTCTAGGACAGAGGTTGAAATATATCCTTTATATTCCATCGATTTGGGGATGCCGTTCATTTTGCGTTTGGAGTTATAAAATATCCAAAAAGACTTAGAGTTACTTTTGATTTTAGACTCCATTGATTTTATGTAGGTTTTGTGCAAGAACCTAGATAGGGTCCCAAATTCCTTTCTGAGCTGAAGAAAAATTCCCTTATCTTTTATGGACAAGGTTCTTTTGAACTTTTTGTATGCTTTATTTTTTTGTTATTTCAGTTTTAACAATCTATTATTATAACACGGCAAACTGAATTTTCTTTTTCTTGTGTGTATAGGGACGTAAAGACTCAAGCATTCTTCGACAGCTTTTTTGAAAGTAATGTACATATATATTAAATCCAAGTGTTTTAAGATCTTATGCCAATTTATTGAGTCGAAGAAGTTGTTTATGGCAACATAATTGGACTTGGCGAAGTTATAGTAGAGTTCCGGTTCAGAAGGAGCACTGTTGAATCTATAAAACGAAAAACTAATCACTAGGGCCTTATGATGAACAGATTCATAAGTCAGAGGTGAGTCGCATCTTAAGATCTTATAGACTAGATCATTACTTACGAAAACTAAATATAATATTCTATCGAGATCGTTGGCGATATTATTTATTTGAAATAAGTTGAGCGAATATAAAGAGTCGTATAGTAGACATTCTGAATATTTTTTTTTTAAGTTGAATGGAGTTAAAATGAGATCTTCAACATTAAATATCCATTGAATGTTACCTAAGTTGAAGTCTCCCATAATACAAGGTGCCTGGAAGGGCTGTAAAGAACTTACTAGGGCATTTATGTTGCTAATATGGGTTTGGTACATTACATAGTCGCTATTGGGCGGAATATAACTAATGACAAACATTATCTCATTTACTCCATCTTCACGTGGATCTCCAATATTAACAGCAACACACATTTGATCGGTGAGAGTGTCTGTTTGCATAAGACTCACTTCACGGCTAGCGAATTTAGTTGACACCGCAATGAGAACCCCTCCGCCTCTTGTAACACCCGAGTGTAAAACCCGGTCTCTTCGGTACACTTCATAATGGGTATTGAAAAGTTCGGACGAGAGAAAATCGGCTGTCAACCATGTCTCAACTAAGATGATAATAACATAGATGTGCTCTGACGTTGCTAGATACATTGAGTTTGTTTTTGTACGTAGGCCGCCGGCGTTATGAAAGTAAACATTTAGCTCAGATTTAAAAGATGTACGGGGTTGTGAAGTTGTATTTTGGATATTGGGTGTTATGCGATTAGGATAAGTATCCGAATCGGTTACGCAGCAGGCTGATGACTTCTCTGTTTCGGGAAAAAATGAAAGGGGCGAACGGTGACGTTGGCGGGCCAAAGCTCTGCTTTCAGTAACTTTCCGCAAAGTGATTCCGTGACACCCAGCTTAAAATTAACCCGCGTCAGGGAGTCCGTCGATACATCCCGTTTAATGAGCTTGAAGCATGATAACGATTGCTTTTCAATGCCTGTATGTCTGGCCACATAGTTGATTATCTCTTCTGGTTCAACTTTCGGTAGAAAGGAAGACAAATGTAGCCATTTGAAGCGAGAGGCGACGCCCAGTTCAGAGCTTTTGTTAGCACCAACAACACGCACCCCATGTTTATGTTTATCATTCGTTTTGTTTTCAACAACGCTGTCTGAGCTACGATTATTATCGATGTTTTGATTGCCTTGCTTCACAGTGTTACTAGCCGAGGCCGCTGCCTGAGTCGAATATACCATGGGTGCCAAAGCGGAGGGAGAAACAGCAACACAAGCAGATGGGTTCGTAGTCGCGCTCGTATCAGCAACACTAGCAGGGGCGGCAGAGCAAGAGATTCTATGCGTGGGCGTATTAAGAGTACGCGCAGTAGAACTAGCATCGAAGTCGTTGACGCCCGCGGCAGCAGTATTTATCTCTTTTATGTAACTGTTCGCCTTTTGCTTTGTGTTAAGAAAGTCGCGTATA